ATATATATATATATATATATATATGGTCTCATAACGAGCTGCAGTTTGTACCATCTAGAATGCCACTGACAGACTTCATTCTTATATTGCAACACAAAGAAATGTTTATCTTGGGAGTTCAGTGATTGTGTACTTTCTCTTCTAAACAAAGAAATAAATAAGGGCACAGAGGGACAAGAGGAAAACCAAAAAAAAAAAAAAACCTTTTGGGTTTGGTGAGGCATACTGATACTCACAGCTTTGACGAAGACCCCCATGAGCTCTGGAAACTGGTGTGTGAGCATGGCCAACATGGCACAGAAGGAGCACAGGCCTGCTGTGAAGAGGATGAAGAAAGGAAGCTCCTTCTTCGGATACACTGAGACCTCGTGAAATGCTGGAAGAAAAAGATAAAGACAGACCGATTTATTTATCTTAAAAACAGGTCAATAAGTACCCTATTTTCCTCTTATTTTTAATCATTTTCAAACCAGTTGACTTTTAACACTCTATCCTTTTGCAAAAGGTATGGTCACATTTAGCGTTGCTCAGGGACATTTCAGGGGCGAAATCCTGTTATTCCAATAAGAATCTACACAATCTAGAGTTTGCAAAGCATGCAAAATAGTTCATCACACAGATTTCACTCGTGTTCAGGTTGTGAATTTGCCACACTGCTTTGTTTGAAAGTGACGTCTGTGTGAGCAGTGCTTCTTCTCTACACTATTGACAATGGGCTTTTTTTTGCATGCACAATTTGTATTGAAATCACTCTAATGTGACAGCACTAGACATGTGCCGGTATTCGGTAATGCAATATATCACGATAATGAATATGCACAATATTGTTATCGTGGGCACTTCAAAATACAGAAAATAATTATTTATTACAAATTATTCCGAATTTTGAATGCTTTTTAAGAATACTTTTCCCACCAACTGGTCACAATGCACTACACCGCTGTATGCTGCGTGAAAGACACGTACGCACTCTGATGTAAACAAGCACGGATGAAAAGCGCATGGCGGAGCGCGTGAGAGACACTCTGAATGAAAGCACACATTCACTCTCTGACAGCAGATGGCGCTGAACAGCAGAAATGCAGCCATTACCTCGAAAACAAAGCAGCTGCGCTACTTTCTGTTTCTGAAACATATTTTAATGATTTAAATAGCCATTCAGATTTGTGTATTCGCTATGGTGTTCATCACAACGCCAAATACTTTAATATTTAAACTTAATAGGCTATTTATTTTCAAACTTTTTTACATTTTAATCTGTACTACAACATGCCGTAGATATTGTTTGACAGTGTTTTGATTCTTTATTGTTCGGTCACACTTTACATTAGGGCTTCATTAGTTAACATAAACTGCCAATGAAAAACTCTTCTAAACATTCATTAATCTTAGGTAATTCCAATATTTTATAGCATGTTAAAATCAAAAGTTGCAACTGTGTTATTTAATGAGCTAACATGAACTAAGAGTTGTATTTTTTTAACAAAGATTTAACAAAGATGAATAACTTCTGTAGCAAATGTAGGTATTGCTCATTGTGAATGTTAAAGCTGCAGTCCGTAAGTTTTGCCTCTTTGTCGCTATCTCTGGTTGAAAACCTGCAATTGCAGCTGTTTGTGGAATTATCTTCCTTATGTGGGTTGTGCGCTGGCATGGCTCCAGCGCGGATGAATCTAATGTTTGTTAGGAGTATGTGTGTGTGGCAGTCAGCCACCGCACCACTGTGGATATTTACTGTACTTCACAATCACAGATTCTAGCCTACGTCTTGGAATATATGACCCAAATAAGAATTTTCACCATATATTGTCATCAGAAAAAGTAAGTAACAAGTCTGCCACGTTTGTTCTGACCAACTGAGGAAAAAAGCATTACAATAAATTGCGCTACCAATGGTGATTTAATCTAAAGATCGATTAGCTCATATCACATCAAACCATGCAAATCATTATTACTGTTATACTTTATTCTCAAATTATTCATGTTAACAACATCAGCATTGCCTATAGTGTATTAGTGTGTAGATTTCAATTTCTGTACAGTCTAAACTCTAATTGGCATACCATTCGAATTTCATATTAAGAAATTCTTTTAACCCAAAAAGCTAATTATGCTCCCTTCGAACTGGTTGTCTTTAAAATACAAATCTTGTGTAATCCCAGGCTATCTGTAATCAGAAGCACATTTAAAACTGGAATATAATTTAATTTCAGTCACATGTGTTTCAAAAGCACATAGTCCTTTCTGGATTACAATCCGCCATCAAAATGATACATTTAATTATTCTAGCTGCTGTGAGAAAGGCTATAATCGATCGGCCACCTGCAGCATCCACACATGCGATAGCCTAGTAGCCGGGACAACTTCTTTATGTTTACAGACGTGACGTGGCTCGGCAGTATGCTCGAATTTCCCGCGAAAACCTACCTGTACCACTCAAATTAGAAAACATTATTATAAGCTAACCGTTGTGAATCGGGCTAAAATAAGGCGATAGTTTTGAACACTGGCTGGTTATGTACTTGCTCAAATATTGATTTCGGATCATTTTTAGCCAAAAAAAGTTACGCACTGCAGCTTTAATGCATTAACTAAGGTTAACTAATGGGATCTTATTGTAAAGTGATACCTATTGGTCTTTATAATTGTTTTGCACTTTAATCTGTGTAAAATTTTTAACTTTATACATTTTTTGTGTATTGCTTTATTGTATTTAAACGTTCAGTTATTTTTGCTATAAGAAAAAAGTTATTAAACCTGTTATACTGTATTATGACAACAGTTTTTGCAACTAAATTTCAATATCGTGATAATACCATATACCGTGATAAAAACATTAACAATTAATAGCAACATGAACATTTTATACCGGCATATCCCTAGACAGCACATTAACAATTTATACATAACGATGGATATATAAAACTATATAGTGTATACTTACAAGGCAGAAGCTCTCTGTCTGCAGTTTCTGTGCATCCTGGGTAAGGATAGAAGAGATGACCCTTTTCCAGGGGGTATGGAATAATCCGGAAAGCTACAACAGTCAAAAGGTGTCAACTGATCTCAAGTGAGATGATTTACATTTTGTTTTACAGTAAACAGCTTACAACAATGTATTTTTGTTGTTTTCAGATACTACATGATGATAATAGCATGCCATGCTTTTTTTAAGTACTTCTGAAGTGCCTTGTAATTTTCATGGTAAATGAGTATGGTAATCATCATATTCTATACATGAAAAAGAAGAAAAAGAACAGATGTGCACTGTACATACTGCCTTCCCAGGTGCAGTGTAGCAGGTTGAGCGCCCCCTCTGCCCGTTTCCAGTGCTGCAGGTGAAAGAAAGCGTACGCCACCGCCTCACTGTCTCCCCTCTTCAAAATATGCTCAGGTGGCAAAATCAGACTCTTCATTTCTAATAAATACTGCAACGACACACAAAACAAAACAATTTTAATTACATTAACTCAAGGAAACAAAAGAAATTAAAAGAAAATGAAGCATTCTCAATTCTTATTACCATAACGCAAAAAAGTATTATAGAAACAATTATTTTCATTATATAAATATATTATGTATAATATTACATTATTAATGTGGTAAAGTATTTAAATACATACATGCATAAAAACTATCAAACTTAAAAAAAACAAAAAAAAAACGAATGCATTCAGGCAATTATGCCCAATGGCCAATTAATAAGGCAATTATGTGTCATGAAAATAATGTTACAATGACAAAAATATTAATGGTCATTTAAAAAATGCTAAATTATTCTTTATTTTCTTAATGCAAAATATAATGTATTGTTTTCCCCTTTAATATTGCGGTGAAATGTGACCCAGATATTTACCCATACACTGTAAAAAAAAAAAAAAAAAAATTTCCTGGCAGAAAATTACAAGTACATTTTCCAGACATTCAACCATAAAACACTACAAAATGCAATGCATAATTCAAAATACTGGTATAATGTTGGCGCTGATAGCTCAGTGGGCAAGTGCGCAGACATATAACGGCATTACAGGCGTCCCGAGTTCGAATCCCGACTTGAGGACCTTTCCCGATCCCACCCCCCCTTCTCTCTCCCACTTTGCTTCCTGTCTGCTTTTTATCATAATAAAGGCAAAACACAGAAAATAAATCTTTAAAAAAAATATACTGGTATAACACCTGTGAAAAAATCTATATGAAAAATTATTTCATAAAAACACTGTATATTAGGCCATATTTTTTACGAACATTTCTTAAAGCGTACATATGAGAGTTTATACTTATACTGAGCCTGTATACTTAAATCCTTCCCTGCTCTGGGCCCCGGGGTGAATGTTGTGGAGGGCAATACAGCAGGATTAAATGGTATTATCCAGAGGATAACCTACCCAAATGCCCCTGGCTGTGATTATGGTACATTACAGCTCAATTCGACTGATTCCCTCTACAATGTGTCAAGCGTACCTTCTGAATTATGAACAAATATCCAAACATATCTTTCGGTAACAATCACCATGTTGGATATGTCATATGGGTAATTTAGCTTTATGATCATGCTGACATTCAACAGGCAGCTGTTCTACACAACATGCTCGCACACAAACACGGTCACCTCCTTTAATGGCGGATCAAGTGTCAGTGATGGGTCTCTTTTATGTGGAGGTTCCTCCTAAGCCCCTGCTGAACTCCCATAAGCCTATGTCTCAGTCTGTCTCGTATCTCTTTTCACTTGACCGTACAGACCCTGTACAATGACATTACACTACGGTGGTCTTGGAGATGCAAAGGTGAGGTACAGGTTTACACTGACATCATGCATTATAATTTTTCTAGGATGTCAAAGTTAACATTTAAGACATTCATTCAATGTTTAACAATAATTTAATGCTTTTACCAAATTATAGTACTTTATTTGATTTATTTTTTTACTATAAAACTAATATTACCACTGTTGAAAAAGACACACTATTGTTCAAAAGTCAGGGCAAATTTTTGTCTTTTTTAGATTTTATTCAGCAAGGATGCATTAAATTGATCAAATAAATGCAGCCTTGGTAAGCACAAGAGACTGGAATGAAACTGGAATGGTGGTGTATGTTGTCAACTTAATATAAAAGTAAATATATTTACCAGATAATAGTTAAGTCATTTTCAATGGCTTCAGTACAATGACAACGCATTTACGAAACATCTTTTTAGAATATCAAAGTTTGTTGTAAAGTTTGCTTTGCAGCTGATTATATATTTTATCAAGGGGATAACATTTGGGGGAAATTCCCATCAAATGTTTGAAAACCACCGACATAAGCAATAAGTAGGAGAGACAATGATATTTAGCAAGTAATCAAGTGCCTTTCGCTTTTATGAAACTGTTATACATAATAAAAATAAAGAGGACACAAATTTTGGTCTTATTGCTTGTATAATAATAGCATAAAATATTACTGCATTGCCCAAATTCTACAAGTCCACATCTTTAATATTCAATCTATAAAGCTGGCGGTATAACCCTAGGACAGACTATAAAGTCTCTGTCTGAAGTGATCACACAAATGTAATAGTAATACTACTGACATCCAACACCCTCTTTGCTCATCCTGGATCGTCCTTTTTGCTCTAGGGGCAGATTTGGCAAATGAAAGACCAGGTGTATGTGTTGATATTTGCTGCACATCTCAAACAGGTGCACTTTGTAGTCTGATACAGCACGTCTGAGTTGCACGCATGTGCGTAAATACCCCTCAACTGAGACGGTGTGTTTGGGTGTGAAGAGGTTAAGCACTTTGAAGTCCGATCTAGTGTTTTGAAAAGTTGCAAGTTGGAACCAGGTACAAAGAAAGAAATAGTTGATGAGGGTCAAAACATCATTAAAGAGCAAAAAGAAAATCAAAGGTGATACAACTTTCGCCCTAAACACAGTTTACGAAAATCTATGCATGGCAGTCATGGGTCGACAAGTCCACCTGCAATTATGTTCAATGTTAAACTGTGAACGATGCACTCCTGATGTGAATATTAGAAAGGTTTCTGTTTAGTGCAGGGGACTGCAGTGTGCTTCAACAGCATCACCTCCTGGTCATGAGAATGTGTCTCTGCACTCAAGAATAACAGTGAGATAAAGTTGATGTGTGGGCAAGTAACTTAAAAAAACTGCATTATACATCATGATACCCTAGTAAAAGAATTAATATACTTAAATGTATTTGAAATACATTTATTTCATGCTAAGTATACTACAAATAAAAATATCCTGCAATTGTACTACAAGTATACTAAACTGGTATGATTAAAGTCTGCTAAATTGGAACAAGTAATTTTGTACTTAAAGCACTTTATTTGTGCAGAAGTAGTGCTGAAGTCCAACTAAAGATATACTGAAATTTGATTGTGCTAAAGTGGAACTGTTGAAAGTATGCTTCAGGTACACTTTAAATATCTTGCATGTAAAGACTGATATTATTGAAAGATCATACAATCCTCATCAAGTGACATTAAAACACATTTTAAGCTTAATATTAAAAAATGTGCATTGTGCATGAGTAGTACTCCAAATAAAATTGAATTAGAATTTTTATATCAGTAAGTCTCGAGCGATGTCAGTAAATATGTTAATAGATTTGAACTATACTTAATATGAAATAAATGTATTTTAAATATATTACTTTTTTACTAGGGTAAGATCACTTGAAACTAGTATTTTTTTTATTATTGGACATTAGCGAATCCAATCAAAATTTAGTATAAAAAATTTAGATAAAAAGTCAAAAGTTTTGATTTACTGTTGTAATTCCAGAACTCCATCTGGTGACACATTAATAGCGATTGCATAAATGCAACTGCATATACACTATCGTTCAAAAGCTTTTTTTTTTCTCGAACTGATGCTTTTATTCAGCAAGGCTGCATTAAATTTATTAAAACTGACATTATAAAA